CCCCCCCCCCCCCTTTTCGGTTACCTATCTCTACAAACACCCCAGTTCGGAGCTGTCTTGATGGTCTTGGTGGCGGTCGGCGCGGCGGGCGTCTTCGTGATGAGGCGAAGGCGCATCCAGGGGCTCCGTGGTGAATTCCAGGGGGTACCCCACAGAGGGCTCACGGACGAAGACAGCCTCTGACCAGCTGGGCTCTATGGGCCCACAACCCCAGCACGGCAATCGTGGACTGATTTTTGACGCGTTCGTCTTTCTTGTGTACACGCTCTTGCAATGCGACCATGTAACATTTCGTCGTGCGGACCAAGGGAAATATTGCTCCGGTTTGTGTATTTATACGTTTGAAGGAGAAACACAGGCAAGCGCTTGGTTGGGCGCGTCAACGTTGGAGCCGTTCCGCACGCAGTGTTTTTGTAGTTTCCGCGACGGGACGTTGGCAGGATAGCTGGTTCGGCCGTTGCTGTCGCCCAATCCCCGACCCCCCGTTGTCGAGAGGTGATTTTGGTCGATACAGCAGCAGCCGCTGTGAACTTTTGGTCCGCACCGTTCGAGCGCTGAGACGAAAATGGAGAGGAGGGTTCGTGGGAGGGGATGTGCCGTGAAGACGTCGAGTAGTGCTGTTTTTTCCCGTGAGTTCGTGTTGTTGCCAACACGGTCTACATCAAAACGTTGGACAGGTTGTTGACAAGGTGTGCTACTTCGTGACCTTGGGCATATCGGCCAGGGGTCGCCGTGGAAAAAGCTTCTCGAAAGGACCTACCCCCCTCCCACGGAAGGAAAAGGGGGACAGCCATCGGGAGGGGGGGGATAAGTCGAATGGAGATGAAAGAACAAGCTTCTTTTTTTGTTTTTGTTGTGTGCTGAGGGTGATTGCTCCGCCTTCTTTCGAAGGGCGCGAGGAGAGGCCCCGAATTTTTCCCTGTGGGTGTACGCATTTGTCTGTCCGGGAAGCCTGGGCGGTACTACTCGTTAGCTGCTGTGCTTGTGTGCCCAACTCGAAAGAATGCCCTTAAGGTCGCTTGCGTGTGCCACATGGTCCGGTTTATGCATGTCCGTTTGTGGATGGTGGTGGGCGGGGCCAGGGGGGGGCAAGTTTACGTGGTGTCCCATATATGCATGTGGTTTAACCATACCTGCCTTCTGGTCGGTTACTTCCGAGGTATTATGAACCCGGGGGTATTGTTGCTGTAGTGGCTACCGCATACGGATTGATGCTGAGTACCGATCTGGTTCCCTAAGGAATGCTGGAATGCTGCCGGCATATATGTATGTGTAGCCGGCAGGAGAGCAGGAGAGTGGCATCACGGGAACGTATCTAGCGTACGTGTAGCGTTTAATGGATCGATTCATGTGTCTCGTGAGTTGTGCTGGTCCTTGCGACCCCCCTTGTCGCCACCCCTTGCTGTTCAACATGAACACAGAGTGGCGGGCGCTCTTCAACCCTGAAAAAGGCTGTACCACGCCCGGACGCATCTTTATCCGTGTCTCCTCCCCCCCGCCCTGTGTAGGTACATGTGTAGAAGTGTCTATTTCATCGTCCCTTGTAGTTTGTTTCTCTACGGTGCTCTGGGCGCCAACGACGCATGGATGGATGTTTGTTCGAAGCTTTTACTTGTCCTTTGTGCTGCTAGCGTGTGTGGCAATTACAACCGTTTGCTCCCCGTGGAAGTCCTCTACTCGTATCCTGTACTCGCAGGTAAAGGAGCTGCATGTGAAGGGTGTTTGCCACCGAAAACACAGACCAGGTGCCTTCTAGATAGGGGTTCTCATGACGTGCCCTTTACTAACAAGGGAAAGAGGGATCAATTTGCACTGAGGGGGTGCGTCGTGGGTTTCACAATGCAAAGGTACGCCCCCCCCCCCCCCCCCCCCCCCCCCCCCCCCCCCC